GAAGTGAAACGGAGAGTTTAATGGAGGCAGGCCTAGGCCCAAATGAGGGCTGTAGCGCCAAGGGGGAAAAAAATGTTTTGGGTATTTCCGCCTTGCTCATTTCTTTATCCTATCTCGGCTCATCTTATTCTGTTCTCAGGTGAACCTATATTGACCAGTGTTGAGTGCAGCCATTCTAAGTAGTTGGAGCCGTGGACGCTTGAGGGCGGCACCTCTCGGATTGTGGCGTGGTTGGTGCCTGTGCCCGCCAGGGAGCAGCAGGTTGGTTGCTAGAATGCCTAGAACGCCTAGAAAGTGAGCGTGGGTACGCGTTTGGGTGTTGGCCGTGTTGCGGGTTTTGGGCGGTTTGCCGGTGTTGGCGTGACAAAGGAAGCATCGAAGTGGAAAGTGGTTGCTGTACCTTAAGTTAAATTAAGAGGTGTTTGAATACAGTCCGTGACGTTTAGGAGCTACCAGAGAGATGTTGCTCAGCGCACAACACTTTTTGGTCTTCCGGGCCGGATATCAGTAAAACTGCAAGTAATCTAAATGATTTTTCAAGCGTGGAATGTGCATTGTGCTCGTTATCCAACGAAACAAAGGGCCGCAGTGACACACTGCCAACAGACGTGACCTGGTAAGTACAATCTGTTTCAAAATCACAAACCTTCCTTCGTATTTCCTGGGCTAACATGGACAACAATCAGAAACGTGCCTTGATCAAGAAACGAGCAGTCATCAAATCACGCGTGACTCGCTTAAGCTCCTTTGTAATTGCTTGCAATCTGAACGAAATCAAGGTTAGGAGACGGCTACTGTCCAGCCTAGTGGATGAGTACAATGATGTACAATTACAGCTGGAAATCGACTAACCTGAGGATGGATCGCACGAAACCGACAGGGCAGCATTCGATGATTTGTACCTAGAGCTCGAAGCGAAATTGGAAACCCTACTGTGCTCCGAACCCCCTTCTCCGCCCTCTATCTGTCAACAATGAAAGTGTGATCAATAATACCATAGTGAAGCTTCCAACGATTTCCCTACCCAAATTCAGTGGTGCATTGCAAGATTTCATGCATTTCTACGACACATTTGTAGCATTGATTATTAGTAATGATGCGCTCACAGACATTCAGAGATATTATTACTTATTATCATGTCTCTCTGGAGATCCACACCATCTCATAGAAAATTTGCCTGTATCTCAAGACAACTTTAAGGTTGCGTGGGACTTGATCCGTGGCCGTTACCATAATCCGCGGCTCATCTCAGATCTACATATCAAGGAATTAATGACTCTGCCAAATGCAAGGCACGATTCTCCTAAGGAGCTGCGGGTACTAATCAATCAACTCTGCAGCAACTTAAATGCAGCGGAGGCTTTGAAAATCGAAACCCCGTTACACGAAATCATACTGTCCCACTTGGTATTGGAGCGCATCAATCTAAATCTTAGGAAGCAGTGGGAGAATAGTAGTTCAAGCGAAATGTACCCCAGCCTGAAGGACCTAATTCAGTTTCTGAAGAGTAACTGCCAGACCCTGGAAATCGACTCATCTAGCAAGACTGCTGTGGGATCCCAGGAGGACTTGAAACGTGGGACAAGCTTGAGAGGACAGCGACGATCCTTTGTCACCATGTCCCTCCCCCCCTGTCCATTATGTGCGTCTTCGCACAGTCTGTACAAGTGCGTGATATTCAAGAACCTGAGCGTCAATAGCCACATCAGCCTTGTAAGGGAGCATAACCTCTGCTACAATTGCCTACGAAGTGATCACAGAGCCAACAGTTGCAACTCAGGAAGCTGTAGGAATTGCAACAAACCGCATCACATGTTGTTACATGTTGAGCAGAATACAGACAACAGTGTTGCAACATCAAGAGGCGCTTACCCTCACAAGGATGTTCTTTTGTCTACTGCTTTTGTTAATGTTATGGATAGTCAAGGTAGAATTCATCAGTGTCGAGCACTTTTGGACAGTGCCTCCCAAATGAATCTGGGGTCTCGAGACGTAGTGGATAGGTTTGGCCTCAAGCTAAATCGGCATTCTGTGCCTTCAATGGTATAGGCAACGTGCTGGCAACGGAATCCCTTCCCTTCTGCCAACTACAGATCGAATCCACCGTCGGAAGTTACACCAACCGCATTGTATGTTCCGTACTGCCACTGATCACTGGCTCGTTACCGTCGTCAAGAATCAGCTATGAAGGATGGGAATTGCCCAGCGACATTCCTCTTGCAGATCCGCACGTCTACCAACCAAGGGCCATAGATCTGCTGCTAAGTGCAACTGTATTTTTTGAAGAGTTGAGGACAGAACAGCAATCTAGGCAGGGCCAACCAACACTCCAGAGTACTCAGTTTGGTTGGGTCTTGGCAGGATGTATACCTGCACATTCCGTGGGACAATGGAAGACGGCAACAACGTCATTGTTAACCACAACTCACGACTTGCATGCACACGTGGATCGATTCTGGCTGCAAGAAGAATTGACGACATGCCACCAGTCCAAGGAAGAGAGCATGTGTGAAGAGCATTTCACAAACTCTGTTACCCATGATGATGCAGGCAGATTCAAAGTGAGGCTACCCTTATGGCAAGACGTTCGAGAACTTGGGGACTCCCTTGCCACTGCTAGCCAGAACTTTGGGTACATGGAAAGGCGATTACTGAGAAACCCAGATTTGAAGAATGAGTATGTCAAGTTTATGGATGAGTACCTGTGACTAAGGCACATGGAACTCATCGACCCTACTGACCAGCATCGGTCTTGCTATTACATGCCTCGTCATGCGGTAGTAAAGAATACAAGCAGCACTACCAAGGTTAGAGTAGTGTTTAACGCGTCAGCAAAAACCACCTCGTTACTCTCGGTGAATGATTTGATGATGGTAGGACCAACCATCCAGCAGGATCTGTTCTCCATAGTACTACGCTTTCACACACACAGGTACGCATTGACTGCAGACGTGGAGAAAATGTACTGAATGATTCAAGTGCATGAGGACGACAGAGACCTCCAGAGAATCGTGTGGCGAAGTCATCCCAGTCAACGGTTAGAAACCTACCGTCTGACCACCGTAACTTACGGAACCGCTGCAACTCCTTTTCTGGCAACACGATGCTTATTACAGGTGGTGCTTGACAGTCAGCCTACGCAACCGACTGCAGCTGAAGTAATTAAGAATGACTTCTATGTCGACGACCTGCTCACGGGAACGGACACTGTTAGTGAAGCTATCCAGCTCTATGACAATGTCACATCATTGCTCAAGAGTGGAGGGTTCCCTGTTCGGAAGTGGCGATCCAACAGTCTAGACATTTTGGAGGCCATTCCAGCTGCACTTCAGGAGACACAGGGGCCTTGCAGTCTTCCTCTTGATGAGGGTGCAGTGAAGACTCTTGGACTGCACTGGTATCCCATTAGTGACTTGTTCCAATTCAGCGTGGTGGACAGCAGGCACAAGAATGTGACATGGACGAGGAGAATGGTGCTGGCTAATGTAGCGTCCATATATGACCCATTGGGATTACTAGGACCTGTCATTGTACAATGTAAGTTATTCATTCAAACCCTTTGGCAACGACAGCTGGAGCCTTCAGAACTTGCCACGCGGAGGGAGGAAATTCACCAACGGCTGCCTGATCTCAACAGGATTAGTATACCTAGAAGAATTACAGCAGATGGCACAAGCATCACTGTAGAACTTCACTATGTCTGTCTACGTTCCGTAAACCCAAATGGAACCATGACACTTCATCTGTTATCTTCTAAATCAAGAGTGGCCCCATTGAAGCAGGTGTCGCTCCCAAGAGTGGAGCTGAACGCCACCCTTCTTTCAAGCCGGTTAGTAGATAAGGTGCATGAGGCCCTCAACCTACAAATTGTTCAATGCTTTTACTGGACGGACTCCACAGTTGTTTTAGCCTGGATAGCTGGGTGCTCATGAACTTGGAAAACATATGTGGCCAACAGAGTCGCAGAGATCCAACAGCTAACCACTTACTGAGCTTGGAGACATGTCGCATCACAGGACGACCCTATGGACATCATCTCCAGAGGAACGGACCCACGACGACTTCAAGGCAATCAGCTATGGTAGGCAGGACCTTCCTAGCTAAGCAAGGAGCCCTCCTCCTGGCCAGCACAGCCCCCAGCAGATCCCGAGAAGGTTCCTGAACGGCGAGGAGTAAAACTATGCTGCATCACCGTCTATTCAGAGATAGAATCCTTATTCGAGCGATTCTCCAGTTGGGAAAAATTACAAAGAGTCTTTGCCTACGTTCTCAGGTTCCTCTACGAGCTGAAACAAGGTGCAGCATCAGGCCGGCATGAACCGATGATATCTACCGAGCTTCACAATTCGCTGATTGTCATTGCTCGCATTACACAGCACTCATCGTTTGCTCAGGAGATCCAGAGTTTGCAGCAAGGGAAAGCCTTACCCTCCCACAGCAAGCTTTTGACGTTACATCCCTTCCTGGATGGGAACAACCTGTTGAGGGTGGGCAGTAGACTGGAGAACACCGATGTACCCTTTGATCAGAAACACCCCCTTATCCTACCATCCAAACATCATGTCACCAAACTGTTGATCTGGAATGAGCACATACGATTGCTGCATGCTGGAAGCCAACTTCTTCTAGCTTCACTGCGACTGCGATTCTGGATAACTAATGGCCGATCGGTTGTCAGACAAGTGATCCGAAAGTGTGTTACATGTTTCAAAACGAAGGCCGAGGCCACCAGGCAGCTAATGGGACAGCTGCCTGTATCTCGCGTCACACCAAGCAAGCCATTCTCCCATTGTGGTATGGACTATGCCAGGCCCTTGCAAGTGAAATACTGTAATCCTCGAAGTAGAACCCAGAGAAAATGCTATATAGCACTGTTTGTGTGCATGGCGACTAAGGCCATACATATTGAACTGGCCAGCGACTTGACAACTGAAGACTTCATTGCTGCGTTATGGAGGTTCGTTTCAAGACGTGGGCACTACGGTCAGATGTACAGTGACAACGGCACATATTTCACCGGAGCAAAGTGACGGCTGAACGAGATGTCTCGACTGCTAGGCTCAAGGGATTATCTTTTGGCTATATCAAGATATGCAGCTCAAGAAGGGATGGAGTGGTATCTAATCCCCCCCCCCACTCCCCTCACTTCGGCGGACTTTGGGAAGCGGGTGTCAAATCAGTGAAGACTCACATCAAGAAGGTAGCTGGTAACACACTTTTGTCATTCGAACAAATGACCACACTGCTCACGCAGATTGAGGCATGCACGAACTCTAGGCCCATCATTCCAATACCTAGCAGTCCTGATGATTGTGCGTTCCTTACTCCGGGGCATTTTTTGATTGGTGAGCCCTTAATGTCCTACCCAGAACCAGATTGTCATGTCGGGCCATCCTCATGTCTGTTAACCTTTAAACGACTAAAGACAACGTATGTCGTCGCAAAAATAAAGGCAGCGGTACGAATGACGCCATATGTGGTCGCACAGTCCGCGCGTGCGGACGTTATATAAAATTAAACACTATCTACACAGAACAACATAACACCCCACCCCCTACCCCCACCACATCTACGCCAACAACATCATAACTCACTCAAAACGAAGACAGAACACACACACACACACATACCCAGCAGACCCAACAGCATAACGCACGCAGTCGCGAGAACAAGACGCAACAGAAACACAGTGAGTATTATTAAAAGTTATAATACCACAAGTAATAGATAAAATACGGAACACAGTATTAATGAATACAAATTCACGTTGCAGATATACACGATAGGGAAGAAGAGCTCCAACAGAGTAGGATGA